GCAAGCTTGCTTGACTCAGACTAAACTCAGACAAAAACTTTGATAAAGGTTGACAAAGGTCGAGGTGAAAACGCGCCATCTGTGTAGCATACACACCTCTAGTGTCACACACATTCACGCTTCAGTGCTTGGAGACGTAATCACATGGCCATGCCTATCCGTCCTGTCGGCTGCTGATCGCATCATTCCATCGTTCTACGTCAGTCGAATATCTCTTATCTACGCACGAGTGTTACACTGACATCATGCCGGCTGGTAGACGGGTTACCACTCTCCTGTCCCGCTACACAGTAGACAGCGCATATTCTTGTGCGCCCACAGGTTCTGACTCATGCCTCTCTCTGTCCATTACGCCTTCTCCCTGCGGTGGCCATTCTTACATCAGCTTTGTAAGCCCTAACGCCCAGAAGGATAAATAAAAAATAAAAATCGCTACAGAATGAGTTGTCTGAACAATTTTATGAGGACATTTACAGAAGCAATAGCAGTTGATAGCTAAAAGATAGCCAGACCTCGCTGAAACAACAAAGGGTAACTGAGCATGTATTGTCGGCGTGTGATGCACAGTGCAAGGAATTACGCTGTCGCTCAAGTTACTCTCTCTGTATTTACCATATCACAGGTTATGAAGATTCTGTTTACGTTATAGTCTTACCTGCTTCAGCAGTGACCTGAAATTTTTTGTTTCAATTATCGCTGGGTTCACAGGTAAGAAATTTGGTGTATTAATGTATTCACCTGTATCACATGCTAGATATTTGCTTTATGGTTCGATGTATTCAACCTGCTATCACAGGGTAAGGAAGATTTTGTTAAATTATTCACCTGCTTAGTCACAGGTAGAAATTTTTGTTTTGATATTATTTCTAACCTGACTACAATCCATCAGGGTTTTAGAAACTTTTTGTTAATTTATTGCAACGCTGTATGTCACATAAAGGTTTATGTTAATTTTCACCGTGATATGCGCACAGCGTATGCAAAATTTTGTTGATTTATTTACCTTTGTGTATTCACACAAGACGTAGAAATTTATTGTTAAGTTATTTACCCTGCTATCACAGGTAGAAAATGTTTTGTTTAATTATTGCACCTGCTAGTCACAGCCGGTTAGAGGGATATTAGGAGCAGCAAGCAGCAACTTTGCTGCTTTTTAATACAAAGATCATTTTACAGTGTTCGAAATTAGGGGCAGCAAGCAGCAACTTTGCTGCTTTTTAATACAAAGATCATTTTACAGTGTTCGATATTAGGAGCAGCAAGCAGCAACTTTGCTGCCTAGATGAGCAGTTTTACTGCCTGCTCTCAACATCGTCAGCAAATACTTGCTGCCAAGAAATTACTAATAAAACATGGTAAAAGCATCAAAGATTCTCCTGGATTAGTAAATGTGCCACCTGCCTTTTTTCTCTGGTAGCAAGTACTTGGCAAAAAAAGTCAATGTTATAACCCTGCCTATCAGGGTCAGTATTGTCATTACAATCAGGATCAGTAATATTGTTGGTATAATTGTTATTATTAGAATTAGTGTTAGTATTGTCATGACATCAGTGTCGATATTATTCGACATTATATATTATATTATATATTATCGATCAGTTCGACATTACTATAAACATCAGTGTCAGTATCATCATAAATGTTTAATGAACCATACAGATACGAGGGTTTCTAGCTCTGAAGTGTCGTCAGCACAGATATTCCATGCCAGCAGGGGTTAATATTATCAAATTTTTAAACAAAATAAATAATATTTGTCATTATTAACCCCTGCGCGGTGGTGTTTCGTAAACCTAGCGTCATAACCGCCGTGTCGTCAGCAACCGCGTCGAGTCGTGCTATCCTGTGTTTTCTTCTTTGACAGCGTGCCCGGACTTCTTTTACGGCTACCACTGCAGGCATCAGTGTGAGTGTGAGCACGGAGCGTCATGCGATCCCGTCCGCGGAGAGTGCATGTGCACGGCCGGTTGGCATGGCAACACCTGTCAGCTAAGTAAGTGCCATCTATACACCGTCTGTCTCGCGCGTGTGTGCGTCGTGACCCTACGTAGATCACGTAATCTTTGTGCAGCGAACACGTTACTGCGCGATCTCAGTAAGAAGTACGACTACATTCTACGGGGGAATAAACCTTCCCGTGTTTCTGCGAGTGTGTTAGAGAGTGAGTGGTGTAGCCCGTGGCGATATCACGACAACAAACCTGTTTCATTTTCTGTTGCAGGCTGTGATGAGGGGACGTATGGCATAGGTTGCACGCAGCCGTGTGACTGCATCAACACCGATGTCTGTGATCCTATCGATGGCACGTGCATCTGCATTGGAGCTACCGGCCCTAACTGCACTGACCGTATGTAGTGTTTGTATACATATACAGCTTATATAGTTGATATACCGCAAAATCCAATGCTATGTCGGGTTTCTGGTGTGGCAGCCATTGCTGTATTTTCAGGAGTAAATAGTAATTAAATTTTTCGTATTAATTATGGCGGCTCATCTTAATTACATCGTGTAGATATCCGTCGGTGTTCTCGGAGGTCATTTTTGTGAAGCCTGCGTATTTTTCGTATCGTTGGAGACGCCGTAACTCGGTGATAATCTATTGCTGTGACTCGTCCGCAGGCTGTGAGCCGCTTTACTATGGCAACAACTGCAGCGAGCCGTGCATCTGTCAGCCCGACCACAGCGCGTCGTGTGACCCGGTCATTGGGAAGTGCGTCTGCACCTATCCCTGGTCGGGTAGCAACTGTACTGGTGAGCTGGCCACGACTCGCTCCTCGCCCTCTTTCCTCCGAAGCCCTAAGCCAAACTAGTTTTATCTATTATTAGTTATTGTTTATCCTATTATTATTATTATTATTATTGTTGTTGTTGTTTGTTGCAGTAATAGTTTTAACAGTTGCAGCATCAGTAGTAGTAATAGTTTATGTCGGCTCAATTCGCCAATCTCATCTTACCTTCCCCACATATTATACACCAATGAGAAGCTCTCAGGTGAAATTAGCAGTGTGGGATATTACTCTGACAATAATTGTACACAGCTATATAATAGACTGTGTATAATATAATATAATCTATAATACTGCTTACAGAGTGCGTGAGAGGGCGCTATGGTCAGGAATGAGAAGATTTGGTGAAGTTAGCAGTGTGTGTATTGCTCTGATAATAACGCTACACATTGCTTACAGAGTGTGTTAGAGGGCGCTATATGGTCAGGAATGAGAAGATTTGGTGAAGTTAGCAGTGTGTGTATTGCTCTGATAATAACGCTACACATTGCTTACAGAGTGTGTTAGAGGGCGCTACGGTCAGGAGTGTGAGCTGATCTGTAACTGCGGTTCGGTTAGCTGCGACGGATTCACGGGCGAATGCATCTGTCCCTCCGGCACGCAGGGCCCCGACTGCAACGCCACCTGCCTGAGCGGCTTCTGGGGGAAGCAGTGTAGGGGGCGCTGTGCGGAGCGATGCGTGCATGCGAGCACGTGCCACCACGTGAGCGGCGAGTGTGCGTGCGCGCCGGGCTGGATGGGAGAGACGTGTGAGCAGGGTAAGTGCAAGGATGCGATACACTATGAGGCTATACACTACATATACACTATACGGCGTATTACGCTGTGATGTCGTCAAGGGTAAATAATGACAAATTTCTCCTTATTCACCCCTGATGTCGTACATTAGATGCATGATATACCATGTATACATTGTATATGTAAGGTTATTGCAACATGCATTCTAACGTGCCCAATAGGTTGCGCCAACTAATTCTCCGAAGCCAATGTCAAACATCAACGTGGCATCCTGCACTAACGAGGAATAAATTTGTTAACGTTAAACATTGTTCTTAGACCATAGTAAACCTTGGTTCTTCAGTCGTTTAAGTAGGAAATACAACAGTATAGTCCATGCTATAAATTGTGATGTCATAAATCGACTGCATATACATTGTATAGTACATGCTATACATTAGAACATTTGAACATGAACACTCGTTTGCCATTATAGGGTGTGACGTAGGTCGCTACGGAGCGGGGTGCGTGCACGAGTGCCAGTGTGAGAATGAAGGAAGCTGTGACTCCGCGACGGGCGCCTGTAACTGCAGCATCAGCTGGTCCGGACAGAGATGTGAAATCTGTGAGTACCTCATCTCTCTAACCCTCATGCATGCACGTGATGTGTGCCTAAACGAGATGCGTACGTTTGTATGATATGTTCATTATGATGCATGTGTCTTATACGTTATTCATCAAATTGTTATATGTTGTGATACCTCGTTGTACACCGTATATAATATAGGGTGCAGCACCGTATCTGTATTAGTTTATTTCTAGTTTGGTGTTGTGCAGCACACCACGTGTGTTAACTAAATCCAGTTACTTTTCAGTGAAATCGGGAGTAAGTAAAAGCAAATGTTTGTTTTAAATTTATTCCTGATGATATGCGACTAAGGCTGACCTATGAGTGATGGGTCGTAGTTCACCGCTGGAGTAGGATGTAGTGGGTAAACTGTTCTTGCTCTAGTTGCGATGGCGGAGAGAGACGCAGATCCAGACGAACAGAAGGGGGCGCTGCCGATTGCCGTCGCCTGCGTCATCGGAGCCGCTGCCATCGTCGTCGTCATCCTCATCGTGATGGTTGTGTAAGATTTTGGTGGGGACAGGTAAGGTTTTAATGCGAGCAGGTGAGATTTTAGGTAAGGTTTTGGTGGGGACAGTGGGCACTAAAATTGCTGATAGAACTCAAGGAAGCATTTGCCTTGCCCCAAAACAATTCGAGCTCTGCTTGTGGCAGTCAGGGTGCAGCAGTGGTTGTTCTCTGACTGATCAGCAGTGGTTGTTAAACGATGTGTAATGATCACGAGTCTGATTCCCTCGTTTAGGTGTGACATCCCGTGCCAGAAGGGCTACTTTGGTGTCAACTGCTCACAGACGTGTACGTGCATCCATTTTGACGAGTGTCACCCACTGACAGGAACCTGCAGCTGTTCGGAGGGCTACATGGGAGAGGACTGCAATGAGAGTGAGTGTCACACTCGTACAGTCACTGCTAGAGTCGATCGTGGGGGAAGTGAAGGGGAGGAAACTTTCGCGGTGGGGGAGACGGGGAATGAGGAAGCGCTACACAGGAGAGGACTGCAATGAGAGTGAGTGTCACACTCCCGCATTCACTGCTAGAGTAGATCGCGTGGGATATGAAGATAAGGGAGGAAGGCAAGAGAGGAAGGTGAGGGAAGGCAAGAGAGGAAGGCAATAAAGGAAGGTAAAGGAAGGTAAGAAAGGAAGGTAAAGGAAGGTAAGGAAGGAAGGTAAGGGAGTGAAGGGACGTGAAGGTAAGGGGGGAAATTTTCATGGTGGGGGTTGGCGGGGGAGACGGGGGAACGAGGAAGGCTAGTAGTGTGCCCACAAACCGTGGACGTGACAACGATGATTCATGACGTTGTGTGTCGTTATTGCAGTGTGTGAGGAAGGCTTCTACGGGCCGGGATGCCGCGAGAACTGCACGTGTGCTAACGACGCCACCTGTGACCACGTGACGGGCGTCTGTAACTGCACGGCGGGCTGGCAGGGCCGACGCTGCGACCTACGTACGTAACCTAGCTCTAACGACTTAATCCATCGCTTCCACGTGTGCGTCGGTGTCACTGTGGCAAAGTTCGAAATTAGCAAGCAGCAACTTTGCTGTTTACAAAGATCATTATTATACAGGGTTC